GGGAGGGGGGGGGGGAGGGAGAGAGAGAGAGAGAGAGAGAGATATTTAGGAAATGTCTATCTATTGCTGAAAAGTATCCAAAGTGAGGTTGTTCACTCGTTCAATGTTGACCTAGCAGAGGGAGAGACCTAGGAAAGGCTACCTAGTGCTAAGAAGAGTCTAGAGTGTGGACCGTCTAGCGTGGATGATATAGCTTTTGTCGTGGAGTTAGAGTCTTAACTTAGGTGTCGTATCAAGTTTTCACTTTTAAATATTATTGAACATTCACTCTAATGTTGGGCAGAACGCTGAAGGGTCAAGTTCAATATCCTTTTATCAAAAGGTGACACTGATTGTTATGCAAATATAAGTAAATAAAGGTGTATCATTGCTACTAGCTATAACTTTTGACTTAATAATAAGTATTATTTGATCTAACAATTAGTATCAAAGCATGTTGCAAGTTTCAGCGCTATATCTTAGATATAATTATACTTTATTCACATATATAAAGATTCTTATGCGAATTATATAGACAAAATTTCAAGAAAAATTCTGAGAAATTAAATATCAATTTCTTTAACTCAAGTATCAATGATTTTATAATAGATTCATAGAGTTAATTATTGATTTACTCTTCATCAATTATGCTTACATTTTCTGTTTTAATGATCGACTTTAATAGTTATATTTTATCTTTTATATAATAACATTGTATCTTACTTTGATAATATTTAATATTTAAAAAAATCAAGTATTATCTCTTTAATCGTGAAATCGTCAAAATTAACGTTGTTAAATCGGGAAAAGATATTAATAACTCTTTGCATTCTTTTATAATACATGTGTTGGGGTTAGATATTACCTTTTTGAATATCTTTTTGTTATTACACTACTTTATAAAATTAAATAAAGGCTTTAAAAATGTAAAAGCTTTTCTAAATTCTTCAATAATTGACCAAGGTTTGATATTCTCAAAAAGTTTTCCATTTCTTTCAAAAGCAAATCTTGTAGATCCATTCCTGTTTCTTGGCGTGTACTTAATTAATTAAGAACAAAAATAAATAAAAATAAAAAATAATCCAAAAAATAAAAATTTTAAAAAAATCATATGGTATTTGGTATCGAAGTTAAACCCTTAACCTTGCAGTTATATAACAATCCATGCTCTCGGAAAAAAAATTGTACTCATAAATCAATCCAAAATAAGTCTGTAAGCTTTACTTTTGTTAGCAGCAAAAACTGTACTGGTCAATCAATTCAAAATAAGTCCATAAACTTTACTTTTGCTAATAGCCTAAAGTACATATTCTTCAAATCCTACCTGAAATTTTTTTTTTTTTTTTAAAAAGAAGAAATAAATTTTACCTTATTACGAACACTAATGTACAAGCATTTGAGGACATGTGTGTAAGTTGACACAGTTTATACCATTTATCTACTCCATCAGTTTTGAGCCCTTAAATTTAGGGTTCAAACACATATTAACAATCTATTTACTATTGTCTCTAACGTTTAAATTAAAAATAAAATTTTAAAAAAAAATGAAAACAGTGAAATTATGATTTTAATTTGCAAGACAGTTACGAAGCCATTATCACAATCATTGTATTAATTTATTATTACTGGATTGTAAAAAGGAGAGGTGAAATGACAGATGTTTACTTCTAAATCACACAATAATTATCCCTCAAGTGCATATATAATATGCTGTCATTTTCAAATTATTATGTTACTTCTCCCCACCACCTTCTTGGGAGGGTAAAATTTTGATTGAAGTACCAACTATTTATTTTGGTATAACCGTTATGCCCTACTATAAAAATATTCTCGATATTTAATTTTATGTGTAAAGTTCAATTAACGAAATTTTAATTAAATTATTTATAATTTATTTTTTTATAATATTTATTTTAATATTAGTATATAAAATTTATATATTTAATAATTAAATCAAAATTATTATTAGTCACAAAAGGTCAAATTTAAAATTTATTAAAAAGTACTTAAAAATAAATAAAGAAATAGGAATTGGGTTGACTAATGACTAATAAGTAAGAGCTGAAATGGAGCAGATGAAGTGATTTATTGTTAAATTATTTTTTATTTATAAGAAAAGATTTAAACATCATAAAATAACTAATATATAATATTTTAGATAAAAATTAATGTGTAATAAGGTAAATTCTCATCATTTTATGTTTCCCCGAATTCCAAAAGAGCGAAGCAATAAAAAAAAATTATGTGGGTTTTATAAAATTATATTTTATATTATGCTAAAATGTATGATATTTTGATCTACGACAATATAAAATTTTCAATGACATTATAGAATTTTTAAGTTTTAAATAATCAAATAGGTCTTCGAACATTAACCAAGACTATGTGGTCTAATGGTACTCGGGTTGGACTTCCATTTGAAAGGTTGTGAGTTCCACCTCAGTGGAGGTGTTATTGGTTCTTTGTATTTCAGTAGGTTGAGAAAGTACATGAACAGATACTACAATGTAATAGGGCCAGTAATATTCAAAAAAAAAAAAAAAAAAAAAAAGGTCTTCGAACATTATCTGAATAGTCAATCAGGTGCTTAAACTTTTTAAAGTTGTAATTAAACACATTAACATTTTTATTTTGGTCCAATGAAGCCCAACAAACGATTAGTGACTTGTGATAGAAAATCACTAGGGTTTCGGCACCATTTCTGACCAAAAATTGACCGCCAGTGACTTGAGCTGGTCGTCTTCTCCAATGACCATTTGTGGTTGCCTCTCTGGAGAAAGGCAACCAAAATTGGGCGCCTCTCTGGAGAAAGGCAACCAAAACTGGGCGCCTCTCTGGACAACCAGAATTGGTCGCCTTTCTCCGAAGAAGAAGGCGTCCGTTTTTTATTGCGACGACGATCGATTTTTGTTGAAAATGTTGTCGAAATTTTAGTAATATGCTATCATAGGTCACTAATCGATTTTTGAAATTATTGCATTAACATAAAATATTTATTAATTTAATTATAACTTTAAAAATTTTAGACTCGTAATTGACTTTTAGATAAAATTTGAGGGTTTATTCGACACTTTTCCTAATTTTTAATAATTTTCAAGTGATAAAAATGTGATTTTCAATAAAGAGAACTAAAATAAAATTAAGAAAGGCGATGGATGTGTGTGGAGCGGTGGAGCCTGCAGGTGCTCCGGGAAGCAGGCCAGATATTCAAAGTATTTTAATTGGAAAAAAATACGTACGAAATATCGAAAAATTGCGAGACAAAACCGCACGTGACCACCTGCATTGTCTCTGTACTAACACTACTATGCTTCTGGGTCCCCACGTGCGCTCGTGTGCTGCCTCTGAAGACTTTCTTTTCTGTTTTTAATACTCCCGTAGTCCCGTGCATGGTTGTCCAGTCTTTTTTTTTTTTTTTTTTTTTGCACATATATGCTACTTATTGTAAAAGAATATTTTTAAAACTCACATTAATACCAACTACTAGCTAGTGTGATGACATTTTTATTATCATTTTATTGAATAGTTAGAGGATCAACTCCGATAGTGAAAAATATAAAAATCTACTTTGTAAAGAATCATTAGCGTTGCCAAAAAAAAAACAAACAAAAACTCATTTTAATTAGTTAGTACTTACATCTATTCTTTTATTAGATAAATTTTTTGAAACTCTCTCTGATTAGTTAAATCAAGATTATAAAAATAACTAACAAAACAAACATCATTTTAATTAGTTAGTACTTACATCTATTCTTTTATTAGATAAAGTTTTTGAAACTCTCTCTGATTAGTTAAATCAAGATTATAAAAATAACTAACAACCATTTCATTAACTAATAGTAAAATATAATATTTCATTCTTTTTCTTTATCAATTTAAACGTCATTTTCTAATATATTTAAATACTCTAGAACAATTAAATTTTAAAACTCAAATTACCGGTTGTTAACCTAATATTTCAACCAAGACTATGTGGTCTAATGGTACCCGAGTTGGATTTTTATTTTGGAAGATTGTGAGTTCGAGCCTCAGTGGAGGCGTTATTAGCAAGTATAGTGTTTAAGTAGGTTGAGAAAGTATATGAACAGAGTAATAGAGCTAGTAGCATTCAAAAAAACCTGACATTTCAGGTCACTTTGATAGATTTCATGATTTTACAATATTGAATAGTCTAATTGCGTCACTTTGATAGATTTCATGATTTTACAATATTGAATAGTCTAATTGCATTTTTTAGTTGATTGACCAAAGAGTAAATACCCAAAATGATCCCCCGACTATAGCTAAATTCACAAATTGATCCTCAACTTTCAATTTCAACCAATTAAGTCCTTAACTTTGCAATTTTGACACGATTTGGTCCTCTATCTATTTGACCGTTTGTTGACCGTGATCGACGATCTCTAGAAGAACCTTCAGCTCTCGTCGGAGCACGTGGAGGCCTCCAGGATGACGTTGCACCAGTTCGGAAACACGTCGTCTTCTTCGCTCTGGTACGAACTCAACTACATTGAATCCAAAGAGATGATGAAGAAAGGCGACCGGATTTGGTAGATTGCTTTCGGCAGTGGATTCAAATGTAACAGTGCGGTCTGAAAATGCAATCGGAACCTTAAAAAACTGATGATGGACCATGAAATTACATATATATCCTCAAAAATCACAGTCAACAAACGGTCAAATAGACAGATGACCAAATTGTGTTAAAATTACAAAGTTAAGGACTTAATTGGTTGAAATTAAAAGTCAAAGATCAATTTGTGAATTTAGCTATAGTCAAGGAACCGTTTTGGATATTTACTCTTGACCAAATTACATTTTCACGTTTTGTTGGATGCCTAACAAACGTCAAAAGTAGAAAAAGAGAAGGCCCAATCTGTATAGTTAAGAATGCTTTCCAATACCGGGCCAAGGCCCATCCGAATTTTCTCATTTGGATCGGCCCATAAATCCATAATCACGCAGACGCTTAACGGCGAAGGTTTGAGAATGGCGAAAACCGAGACCATGGCAACACAACATATTTGTCTTATCCGCGTAGATTTCCACCTTCTCCAACTGCTTTGCCGCGTAAAGCGAAAACCTTCAAAACCTCCCCTAAATTATCATTCCAGAAAGAAGATTACTACAGCTTCCATAGATAGAGATTAAGAGGAAGAAGGAGGAGGAGGAGCCGATCAGAATAGTTTCATTTTCCCGATCGAATCGTTTGCACGAAGAGAATCTGTTCGACCGCCATGAGTTTCCTATTCGGCAAGAAGAAAACTCCCGCAGGTTCGTGTTTCATTTCGATGCATAAGGGAAATATCTGCGTGTTATTTTGAAATTTTCAGTAATCCGGATGAATTCGTTTCTTTTTATGTTAAATTCAGTGTATATTATTGAAGTTGATTGTGTATTGCCATGATACATGTGAATTGATGCTCGATCAACTTAGAATTTTGTCAATTTTATTTTTGCTTTTGGATTTTGTAGTTTAGATTGTTTCTGCTAGGACAGAACTTGCATTCTGTTGGTATAATTTGTCACAGATTAGGTGCCGCTGAACATGTAAATGTTTTTATTAGATTGCTATTTGATACAAACTGTAACAATTTGAGATTAAAGATACAACTTTGGAACATCATTAGTATAGACACGACAGAAGAAATGAGAAAATAATGAATCTCTTTGTTTTTACCAGCTAAGAGTGGGGTAAATAAATACTAAAAAAAATTGGTATACTTTTCAGAACTGTAGATTGTGTTAGGGAGAATTTGTATCTATATAACATGGGACAAGTTTGGAATGCTTTATTATGGATTTTAAGGAGGCTAGGAAATTTCCTTTGGTTGACATCATTGTGAGGAAATTTGCTGTTTTCTTGCTCCTGTTGCTTATGTGAAGATTTTATGTTCACCCAGTGCAAGCAGTGGTGTACAAGATACCAAATGCTAATGGTATCTTTTGAATTTGCAGATCTGTTTGGCATTTTTTTTTTCATTTTGGTAATCAATGAATTGGCTTATATATTGTTATGATTTTCAGAACTCTTGCGGGAGAACAAGCGGATGCTTGATAAATCTATTCGAGAAATAGATAGGGAGAGACAGGGTTTACAAGCACAAGAGAAGAAACTAATTATGGAGATAAAGAAAAGTGCTAAACAAGGGCAGATGGTACGTCTTCTTTCAAAGAGCTTATTACTTATTAGCTAGTGTTCTTTTTTGGATCCAATAAGAACTTATTGAAAAATAGGCTTTTATGAAATCTGAGATACACATTTTTGTAGGTAGCTTCTTGGGGTGTATTTAAGTAGATAGTTGATAGTTGAATTCAGATACACTCAGAAAACTCAGATTTTAACAAATTGTAAAATCCAACTTTCTGATTTTATATCCCAAGAGAATGTACATGACTTGATGGCCATGTCACAGTGGTGTAGTAATTCTGTGTTTTGTGCAACAATACTTAAAGTCTGCATTTGATTTGAAGTTTTTCTACTTATAGGGAGCTGTTAAGGTGATGGCAAAAGATCTCATTAGAACGAGGCATCAAATTGAAAAGTTTTATAAGCTGAAATCTCAACTTCAAGGTGTTTCCCTAAGAATCCAGGTAATCTTGATTTATACTTCACCGTTGGATTGCGTACATCAAATGATTCTGGTGAATTCAACCAAAAATTCATTCGTGTTTGGTGGGTGTTGATTAGACACTGAAATCAACTCAAGCAATGGGGGAAGCGATGAAAGGCGTTACAAAGGCAATGGGCACAATGAATAGACAGATGAATTTGCCAGCGCTGCAGAGAATAATGCAAGAATTTGAGATGCAAAATGAGAAGATGGAAATGGTAAGCGAGGTGATGGGTGAAGCCATTGATGATGCCCTGGAAGGAGACGAGGAAGAAGAAGAAACCGAAGAGCTGGTGAACCAGGTCCTTGATGAGATTGGAATTAATATTAATTCTGAGGTAAGTACTGCGTTTTGGTCTATTCACAATTGATTTCATCCCATAATATTTTGCAATTTTGCAAATTTAATCCTAAAGTCTATTGCTAAATCTTTTTGGCCTTTGAATGATCCAACAGCTTGTCAATGCACCTTCCTCTGCTATAGCTGCTGCCCCAGCAACAAAGAACAATGTGCCTCAAGCTGAGGCAACTGGAAATGAAGATACTGGCATAGACAGTGATCTACAGGCCAGGCTAGACAATTTGAGAAGGATGTAAGGTCACTTGTGGAGAAACATCATATGCAGCCTTTGTAAATCTTTAATTGAAAGTCACAATATAGTTAGTTTGACACAGTTCTAGGATTTCTTGTAGAGACGAGATATTTATTATTTACTCTTGATTTGAAGTTTTGATTACACAGTACACATTTTTTGTCATCTCTTCCCTTATTACACAGTACACATTTTTTGTCATCACTTCCCTTATTACACAGTACACATTTACAAGTGTTAATGTATTGATTTGAAGTTTTGATTACACAGTACACATTTACAAGTGTTAATGTATTCACATTTTTATTGAAAAATTATATATAGGAATGACAATTTTAAATCGCTGGATATTCACCCAAATACCCTTGCATAGGTCTTAAAAAACATTAAATCCTTAGTGGGGCGGGTTTATACTATAATACTTTAGATATTTTTATTATTAATTAATTATTAATTAATAATAATAATAATAATAGTTATTATAGTGAATAACTGAATATCCACACTTAGGGATGGATTGAGGAAATATAAGTCGATTAAGTGGTGAAATTCAGCCAACCCCATTGCAATTCCTTCGAAAGTAACATTACATTTTTTCAATTAATTAAATGTTAAGAGTACGAGGAAAAACAAATATGAAGTTCAGTTCTGTAAGCAATTGCAACATTGACAACAGAAACTGAAACTTGTAACCGACTAATTAAATTAAATCCAATAAGTTGGAAAAGTAACTTCTTTTCCAGCAAATCATATTGGCAATTATGGAAAAACCTAAGAAAACATAGGATTCAAACAAAATTGAACCTTTAAATGAATGAGGAAAACATGATAGACAAAATTTAGTTGACAGTATTACTTATAATAATAAAAATACAGAATCCTCAAAAACATGCTTTATAGTATTCAACGCAGAAAACAGAAACTAGCAGGTCTAGCACACATGTTGATAATTAAAAGTGAAAGGTTCCTATATGACTGGCACTTCGATATCAGTTGGCACAGCCATAACGGACGCCCTGGCATACTCCTCTTCTTCCTTTGGAGGGTGAATGGTGACAAGATCTGGGAGAGGAGTCATTGGGCCTTGCTTTCCCTTGGGGTCCCAGTCAAGCATGATCTTGACCTTGATTCCAAGCACTCCCTGAAATAGTGTAATGTCACAACATTTAGAAGACGGCACACTGGCACTGAAATGGGGTTTAAAGCTAAATTATCTCACTGAAATTTAGCAAGGAAAACATTATGCTCACCTGTCTCATGAGAATGTGTCTGACAGCAGTGTCAATGTATTCCTTGACGGGTTGACCAGACGAGATCATATACCCGTCCTTAAATTTCATGGATTTAGCACGCTGAGCCCTCAGCTTTCCGCTGACAATAACCTGATTAGAAGAATATTGTATGTTTAAAAACACACCAAATACGTTAAAACAAGTAAATAGGTTCAGATATTTTAAGGTAATACAACATACCTCACAACCCTTGGCGCCTGATTCCATCACAAACCTCAGAACACCATAGCATGCCCTAAACAAGAAAGAATACAAAAGGTTATTGGTAAAACATTGTTGAGGAATGAAAACGAAAAATATTGGATTTCAAGTGATGTTGCAACCCAAGAACAAAGAGCTAGATGTATGACATCACAGCTCTTGGAACCAGTCCTCAAGAAGCTGAAATAATTTAGTCATCTTCCGACACAAACTTGGTACATAGATTGACCTATTTGCTTTATAGATGACTATAGCATGATTAAAAACATGCTCTGCTAACTATGACATGGATTATTAGGGTGGGAAAAGCTAAATAGTATAGAAAATATGTTTCCACACTACACTAAGGTTACTGCAAGAATACAGGTCCATTTAACTAGTATAGCATGGGTAAACAGATTCCTATAGTCATCATCCGACACAATATTGGTATTTAAACACCAATTTGCTTTGTGTATGACATAGCATTAAAAGAGAGAGGCAATGATTCAACATTAACATGTAAAACAATGGACACATGCATCAAATGTCAGTTTTCGTACATTAATTCCATGTCAACACAGGCAATATACAACTAATAAGCAGAATGTAATGAATCAGGATGAAATTAAGTAGAAATAATTCACAAACTATTTTACCTCCTAACTGCCAGGCCACCAAGCAGCTTGTAACGCAGGGACTCAGCCTGAGCAATGGCACAAAGCCCCCTGTTGTTCACCTTCTCGGCATACAACTCCACCGTGTTTTCCTCAAACTTGAACCTCTTTTGTACAACAGAGGTCAACTCCCTAATCCTTCTTCCTTTCTCACCTTCAATGACCAATACAAAATATCAGCTGAGAGCATTAAATCAATTGGCAAACCAACACTCCAATAAGCAATAACAGACTTAGCAAGTAGCATTGATTCACTTGCCAGCACCACACCATATCCAAACTTTTACATAGTTTGCTTACACAACATACATATATTTACATACATACAAGAAAGGCATACGGGTTCATTGAATTCACAATAAGCAGGAACACAAACTAAGGAATTTGTTGTACTCTAATTTTATTTCGTCAATAACAGCTTATACAATTGTACATTCAATTTACAGATTAAATTAAATTTATTGTAAGTGGAATGCAAATTAAACCAAATCTAAGCAAAACCTAGGGCATTCATATTTAGAGCAACACATATTCACCCAAGCAATTTAATTCAATACATAGATATGGATCAAAACATAGCCTTGTGCCCATTTTTCACTAATCAAGGAGTGGTAATTACTAACAACCTGATCCAAAGCAAATACGCAATAGATTTAAAACCAATATGGCAAAAATCTAAATTTTCGTATCAATTTGAACCGAAAATTCAACAAGCACACTGCAATCTACTCAAAACCAACCCTAAGTAATACTTCAACAAAATACAAAGAAAACAAATGCACAAAATAGCAGGAAAAATTACTGCATAGGAAGCTAGATCCTATGGAAGTGTGGTGAGGAATTACCGAGAACGTTCTGAGTACGAGTTGCTCGGATGATAATCTCAGTCCTGACGGGAGTAACCCTAACCTCCACGCCGGAGTATCCATCCTCCGCCAACTCACGCGTCAAAACCTCGTTCAGCTCAGCGAAAAACACTCCATCGGCCACAAACTATCAACACCAAACAACATACATACCGCATTAGCATATCTCTGAGCGTCAACGCAAGCGGCGCGCATATTCAAAGAGAGAAGATAAGGGAAGAGAGAAAGAGAGAACTGACCTTCCTCTTCTTGCTCATCTGAGTCGCCATTCTGAGATGCTGCTGAGAGAGATACACGCGAAGAGAGCTCTAAGCTTTGAAGCTTTGCGAATTCTTCAGACTTCAGCTGTTGGCTAGGTTTTTCGCCTCAGATGCACGTTTATAAGGGAACGGAAGAATAAGACCTAGGGTTTAGACAACAATTGGGCTTGGCTTTTAATAAGGCCTCAGGCTTAGTTGGGCTGAAAAATTGGGCCGTATTCCCTTATTTGTCAATCGTTGTACCCTACACCACGACACGCGTAGCACTGTGCGCCGCACGCCTCCCAAACGACGTCGTTTTGAGAGGCGCGGTAGGAAGTTGCTATGATTATGTGTATTTGTTCACACAATTATGTGTATTTGTTCATACAGTTATGTACATTTTTTATACAATTATGTACATTCTTTTTATACAATTATGTACATCCGAATCAGAAAATTTGTGTGTATTATGTTAAGAGTTGATGTGTATTATGTTAAAAGTTTATGTTTATTATGTATTATGTTAGATTATATGTATTATCTTTTAAAAAGAGTATGTATATTTTGTTATATAATTATGTACATTCATGTATACAATTATGTGTACTCTAGTATAACATTATGTACATTTTTGAACAACGGGGTTTTTTTAAAGAAAAAATTACTGTCATTCACTAGGGCGGGAAATTTCAAAAAAAAAAAAAAAAAAATTTAAAACGACGTCGTTTTGCATCTGGGCGCATAATGCAACGCGCGTCGTGGTGTAGGATATAAATTGCTCAGTTTATCAGAAACTTAATCTTGTTTGGGCCAAAAGTAAAGCCCAATCAATTAAATTGATAGGCCTGCAAATCGTTCTGTTTGAGAAGCCCAATCAATAAAATAAATCCAAATTACTCTTTGCATGTTATGAAGCATCATTAAGTACAAGTACAAACGAGTCGAGCCGAACTCAAACCTATATTAGCTAACGAGTGACTCGACAAATCATTAATCAAAAGTTATAAGCTTGAGCTCAACTTGATTAGTTATAAGTTTGAGCTTAACACTATTATGGCATGGAGCTCAACTTGATTAGTTATAAGTTTGAGCTTAACACTATTATGGCATGGTTCGTTTACTGAAAAATATTTTTTAGCGATAATTTTTTGTTTAAATTTAAGGAAAAATAAATTTTAGCGTGTTTGGTTAATGGAGAAATTGAACCAATTAAAAATGAATATCTCAAATTTAAGAAAAATGAATTCTTTACTCTCATTTGGCATTTTATTGTCCACCCCTTGTGGGGAAAAAGTTATAACAAATTTCTAATATTACCCTCACTTATATTTATTTTATAGGGTTATTTGAGTCTTTATGTTAATTATTCCCAACACTTATTTTCCTTCAACCATACAATAGAACCAATTTTTTAAGTAATTTGTTTTCCATGAAATTTAAATTGAATTCTTTCTCAATTATTTTGACAAACTTAACTGGCTAGTCGAAAATTTTTGAAGGGTAATTTGAAGACATGCGGCAAATATTTGTGTAGATTGGATGACAACAAATTTTGGACAATTGCAACTTGATATCCACATTTTTTTTATCGAATATATGATCTCTTACCCTTATTTGATAACTAATTGTATTGGATTGAATTTGTCATGATTTCTCAATCCAATTTTCACATGTCCTAAAATAGTGACAAAATATTCACTCATGAGTTTTAAGATAATTCCGTCCCCAATACTCAAACCTGAGACATCTGATTAAATTAGAAGAGATTCACATTATCCTACCCACTTATTATAGTTATTATTATTATTATTGAATGAAAAATAAAATTCAATATCACGATTAAGACATGTTTAAAAGTGCAGTGGAAGTGTGGAAAGAAGTGATACATAAACATAATTGATGGGAAGGGAAATCAAAGTCGTTTTCATGGGAGGGAGCTCTTCTTATCCTCTTGTATTGCGTCAATAATTGCAACAAGTTAAAGGTACACTCTGGTTATGTTTTACTTTATTGTCCTTGAAGACAAATGGGTTTATATATATTCGATATATCACTCTCCATCATGCATACATGTATCCATCCGGCCTCTTCTTTATATTCTTCATCAATTTATCCTCCCTCACAACTCCATTTGCTTAATCTCTCCAATTTTACTATTGGGTAAGTTTCCATTCATCTTTTTCATTTAATTTAGTAGATAGAGTGAAGTACCAAGACGTTAAAATTAAGTATTTCAAGTTTTATTAGGAGGATTATCTAGGTGCCATAGGTAAGCTAAGTGTGACGGGAATAGAGTCCGACGCAGCACTCAACGTCCGTGCGGCATTCCGGAGCCCCTCATATTGCGCAGACCAGCTTTACCTTTATACGTGCCAAACTGGTTTTGTCCCGTCATGGGCTCATCAGGGGAACGTCAATAGCTCCCGACTAGTTGTGCATTTCGAATTATATCGGTGGCCTTCATAGCCAAGTCCAATACTAGCAACAAGCTCTCCAAACTTTACGGGGTAGACATGCTTGACTCGGCCAGACCGTAGCGTCTAAGGCAAAATACCTTTAATGCTATTGACGCCCCTTTATCCATTTGGCAAGTTAACTAACCCATTCATTCCTTGGGTCTTAATACGGTCACGGAAAACAGTCCGTGACATAAGTCTTTCTTTTGTTGTTACTGTTGATCTAACTACAAGTTTCTGCAACTAATCAACTAAGACTATACATTGAGACCTTTAGTTAATTAAGTTGCGGCTCATTAGGTGAGAGGCCGGGCCAGTGTCTGGGGCCTACCACACTGGATGAAACTCTCACATTGCGATTGTTAGGACTCATTAATTTATGTCCTTATCCTTAATTTACTACCCAGGATCTAAGAGAGTTGTTTGGAGCATGTATTTAGGTTTTTGTTGGCACGAAAGATTGTAATTGTGTAATGTTTTACTTGTTATATATCAATTAAAAGAAAACAAATAGGATAAGTTTATTTTTGCAAAGATGATTTTACCATTTGTTACCCTATATTTGGCTTAATAAATATAAATTGTGGTTCATTTACTATTGAGAAAATTTTTCATTTTATTTTAGAGAAATTTAAAAAAAAAAAAAAAAAAAAACTAGAGAAAAAATCATAAAACATAATTTGCAGAAAATGGGTTTGATAAATGCATTTTCTTATTTGATTTTTTTTAAAAAAATGAAAAATAGAGAAATACAATTTTAAAAAATAAAAATAGAGAATAGAAATAACGGAAAAGATGGACGATAATATTCCACTCAAAAATGTTCGTGGTGAAAAAATCATTCTATCTATCTCATATAATCTTGACTCAAATTTTCATATTAATTACACAGAAATGGTCTGGGCAAGAGGAATGAGTTCTAATATTTATATTTATACTCGACCACAGAATATAGGTTTAATTATGTGTAACAAATTTATTTTTAATCATCTACTTCTGTCACGCCACGAAAAATATGGCTTGCATTATTCAATTCAAAGGGGTACAAATAGCTTTCACCCAAATGAATAATGATAGAGCAACAGAGCCTTCACTTCATTGTGAAACCATATTCAAAGTATTGCGAGAAAGGAGTTGTGGAGGAAATGGGCAAAGGACAGACAAGTTGGATTCTTCTATTTTGAGAATGAGGACTGCCATACAATATTGTGAAAGTTTATGAATCACCATATCTGTGATATATATATTATATTATTGAACCATATATACATACATATACACACATTATATATATATATATATATATATATATATATATATGGAAACTTTATACTGCCATCTGTCAATCGATATTCAAGATAGAACAATGCTCATCCATTCATCTAGAATGGCCGATGACTCAAAATTAAGGGAAAAGTGCAGTGACAATTTTGTAAATATTTTAAACAGCTGGGTTAAACTTGAGAGTGCATCCAATGATAAATCACACTCAGTTCAAAATATGTAAAAGTATACTCAAGCAGATTGTACTGTTTATTACATTTTTTCTGATTTTTTTCGTTATTTTCAAGCTGTTGATTATCTCAAATTAACATATAAAATTATTTAATTTTTTTTTTACAAGAAACGTTATTCTCATATGATCTCACCCGCTTGCAATTGACAAAAACACCCACATCTTTATTTCTATTCACTGGTTTCATACATTTCAATCTTCTTCCTAGCTTGTGATGTTCTTTTTTATTTTTTATTTTTATTTTTCTAAAACCATGTTTTATTTTAAAAATCCTCCTCAAATTGGCAATGATTGATATTATTTTAATCAATGTGCCATGATTACTAACTACATATAAGATCAGATGGGAATGGATTAATGAAGTTAAACAAATGTAAGTGGATACAACTATTCATGTATAGCAATATAGGCTGCCAGAAATAGAACACTTCCTATAATTGAGTCTAATGACGTGATTAATTGTGGTGAATTAAAAAATAAGCGTTTCTATAATTGAGTCTAATGACGTGATTAATTGTGGTGAATTAAAAATAAATGTTATTGTTCCAAAAGAGTGATGAAGCATAATTCTCACATCAGAATATTACAAGTTTAATTCTTGTCAACATCATCTTAATCAAGCTTCTTTTTTTCTTTTTTCTTTTTTTTTTTTCTTTTCTTTTTTTTTTTTTTGGGTTTGTGAGTTATTACATAGGAATGAAATTACTCTATGAACGTATACTCTTTCATTATCAAAAAATAATAAATGTTTACCATTTAATATTTTTATTTTTTCTCAAATAAACACTTTAATTGATTAAGCAAAAGTATTACATCTCATATCAATCGATTGTGTGCACCGAAGAGGGAGGGAGGATTGGGGTTTCGTAGGTTGAGGGTCTAAGTTTCAAATTTGAGTCCAATTCTAGAATTCATGCTAGGAAACATTTTTTGTCAAATTGAGCCTTTTTTCAATTGACCACAATGAATGTTTTCTGTTGGCCTTATTTTCTTTAAATATACAAATATAGAAAAATCTAGAGGGTCGAAGTGCATGCATTTTATCAAGGAATCATATCATTTTTCTATAATAGACTTGTATTTGAATCTTAAAAAAAAAAAATTATGAATATTAAGATGAAAAGTAAATAAAATGGGCAAGAATAGGAAAAAAAAAAAAAAAGAAGAGGAAATTAAAGAAATATGGTTAGTTTGGAGATTGGAGGACCTACATGAAACAAAAGGGAGGGGAAAAGTAGATTCCCAACTCACATGTTAATGTTTTAGTATATGATTTCATGTTTGGTTTGTCTTGGCTTGTATTTGGGGACCAGCGAACCAGAACCTGGTCTCATTTCCTTGTACCTATCCACCCTACTTTAAGATTTTCTCATTCATATTCAAAGGAAGCACAACTATATTACTAAATTTTAACCAAGTACAAATAGGCCATAGTTTCATATATTGAAGTTGATTCTTTTGCACTGATTCGTTATGTTACCTCGTCCACAATATTGATTCCGTGAAGAGTTCGTGGTGTGCTAAGTCGAATCTATTCGCGGTTGGTATCTTGGTCTTCATCAATTGTTCATGTTTATCGTGAAGCTAACCGTGTTGCGGATGCTTTAGCTTCAGAGGGTTTGTTTTGCACATCAATTTCTATGTTTACTTCATTTAGCTTGTTACCATAAACTATTAAATTGTCCATTTTGTATGATTTGCGGGGCTTTGCTACATACTCCGAGATTTATTTGTTCATAATAAATCTTATACTTTACTGGGTAAGTAGATATTATTTTTAAAATATGATTTAAGCTATCAAAAGATCTTGTTGAGTTGATAAGGACATTGTGGTGTAGAATGCTTGCTTGAAAATGGTTTGGATTAATTGAAGTTTTAAAAAATTTCAAATGGGCTAAAAAGTGGCCAAAATTATATTTCCTGTTAGTAACAACATAATAAAATGAGGTTCACTCTGTGATTTGATAGTAAGTTACACACCTTTATAAGCAATAAATCATTTTTCAATCTATCTATATAAAAACGAACTAGATTTGAAAATACAGGTGAGTTGGAGCAATGGGGCCTAAGGTGGAGGTAGGGTCACGTCGATGTTGGATTCATCAGTCATTCAATTATTATGATAGTATCTTACAAAGACACAATGCGATAACTACGGTAATTAAGTACCCCGTCTATTACGTGATATACAATTACATATGAAAATAATAACAATTCTCTTTTCCTGTGAGTACATAACTCAACTAATTATTTTGCATTGCATGTTCATAAAAACATCATTATTCTCACATAAAAACTTGCGTTTAACCGGTATCTTTTTACCATGTGCACAATAAATAGCACAACTTTTTTAGGAACCAAACAAAAAATGCTGGAACACACTTCTTGTGTACCAAAAATGAAATGGTGATTTTTGAAAAGTTGTACCATTAAACAACTTGAGATCAAGATATCCTATGTAGGTTGAAGACAAATTAGGTTAAAAGTCGAACAACCATGAATGCATTAGGGCAGTACAAAAAAATAAAGTGATTCCCTCAAAGGTTAAGTATGATTCTGAAAATGAGTAGTAAGAAACAAAGGAGTTTCTATCAGATCAGCCAGGTAGGCCTATCTTCCATTAAATCATAAACTAGGATGCATCTCCTGGGCCCACCAACAATGCTGTCTTTTTTTCTCCTTTATATCTCATTCACTTGCTCCACACTTTGTCGAAGAATCGAATTGACATTTGAATCTAAATAGTAAGGGGAAATCGCAGTTTTGGTTCCTCAATTAGTTCTTAATTTGTAATGTCATTTTTAGTTCTTAATTTCAATACATTTGGTCTCTTAATTAATTGATCATTAAGCAGAATCGGTTCTTCTGTCTGTTTGTCCGTTTCAGTCCGTTTAATTCATGGGTAAAAATGAAATTTCACATACCATGGTTTATCACAAAGAGGTAAATCAACTTAGGTTGTCTTATAGCTGACTAGCTAGTTCAAACAAAGAAGATCAATAGACAATTCTCACGCAGAATCAACTTGAAACTTTGTGCTTACTAAATCAATCGTCCAACTAATTTGACTGAAGTTGTCCTCAAAATTTATATATTCAGTAACAAAATATTACCTCAAAGCACCACTGGAAAGTTTATAATTTCTCACTTCAATTATACACTACCATGGTATGTGAAATTTCATTTTTACCCATAAATTAAACAGACTGAAACAGACAAACAGACAGAACTACAGAATGACCAAATCTGCTTAATGGTCAATTAATTGAGAGACCAAATGTGTTCAAATTGAGAACTAAGGATGACATTGCAGATTGGGAACTACTTGAGGGACCAAAACTGTGATTTTCCTGAATAGTAATAAGAATCAAATACTTGATAATGATAATAATAAGTTTAAGTAGAATCAGTCATTTTGTTTAATAATAAATAAGAATTGAAATCAAAACATTGAAATCTCAATGTCGTAATAGGATTGTTGGGTGTGGGTTCATTTGTTTTATTTTGTTAGTAAAAGCTTAATACATGTTTTGTCAATGTCGTCAATTTAGCCATGAGTTATACATACTCATTTTAATTACCGAAGTACCGTATCAGACAAACAAAGAAGGAAATTTGATATAAATTAAATAGAAAATCTTACGGGTACAGTATGTTTTGTAAAGTTGTACAATATGTTTTGCTATAGATACATTATATGGGCCGTTTATGTCACTTTTTCTAAATTTTCATTTCTTCAATTTTCAATATTTTTGAATCTCAAATTCTAGAAATTATAAACAAAAACTTCGAATGAGAAAAACGCCGAGTACAAAGCTAAGTCCCATCATTTCTCTCCTCCAAATTGAAGAACATGCCTAACTTTTCCTCTAAAATTTAGAAAAATGAAAAATAATATTCTTCTAAGTTAGTTTGACAAGTAAACATATTTAATTTATCCATAAAAATAAATCATTTCTCCATTTAATAAACAGCACTCATATAACTATCAAAATTACAAATTCCCTTGTTACAAAATCCAATCCAAAAGAGTGTCTTTGTATGACAAATAATGCTACATTCCCATCCTTATTTTGATTTATTTTATATTTGATTAATAAAAATGGTCCTTTTTAAGATTATGCAAGTTGACAAATTTATGGTAGTCAATGAATTAAACAAAAGTATTGATAGTACACATCAAGATGCGAACATTATGGGTAAAATTAATAGGAAAAAACAACATTATTCATTTAGGACCATTGTAAAATAGATCCAAATCATCAAAAATCACATATCTATTATTATAAACAGAAATATGTCATGATATTTTTGTAAATAACAATCATTTTATTTTATAAAAATATAAAAAGTAAAAATACCATGTGCAACGAGCTCAGCTCGACCAACAAAATATTGACAAAATTCAAACTCATAATCTTTTAAGTACGAGAATCATGTTTATAATAACAAACATCGTATTTTTTTTATATCTCTGTTTATAATAACAAACATCGTATTTTTTTTATATCTCTGTTTATAATAACAAACATCGTATTTTTTTTTATATCTCAGAATTTACTTATTATTATCTTATAGAGCTTATAATCATTAATGATCGAGTGTAACTAGTCATTCATGGTTTGTCTGTCTAGTGGAACTATTGCACAGTGTTTAGAGTACGCAAGCTAGCTACTTTTCCATTGATTATTAAACCCACCGAATTATTTGTTTATTTCTTCCTTTTTCCTCCAATCAATCCTATCCAGATGATTATCATTTGACAAAAACAAAAACACCCTAATCAATGATAAAAAGGAAAACTGTACTATGTAATAGAATTGGTCAAAACACCCATCATTCCTTATCTCAGATTCTATTCTTGTGGTGGTGTTTCATTGGAACACAAAATATTATCTACAAAACCTCTTCTTTCTTTTTTCTTTTTTCTTTTGTTTTTAAAAAATTATATAGTTTGAGTTACCACAGAATAAAAAAGTATATATATTTTAAAGGAATTTTTCAGGAAATCTGTCCTTTCATAGATGTTTTCACCTACCTATACAGCTATACTAGATGATAATTAATGCAAGTCAATTAATTCGACAATGGGGCAACCCAATTAAATTGATCGTTCGAGATGACTTGATAATCATAAAATTTCAAAGTTTGATTCTTTGTGATGCTGTCTGATCCATTGACTCTCAAGCACAAGAATACCCTTCCTTTAATGAATGGAGAGGCTTCTTGCAAGTATGCTTGTCGCTTTGTTTTGTTATTTAAGTGAAGAATATAATTAAACCAAAATTAAGTCTATTATAAAGATATTCAAATTGATTCACCTGAGAGAAAGATGCAGAGAATGGTAATTGGTAAGTTTTCTAGCTTCCATCAGGTAATGTCTAAAGGAATAATGGCTTTAGGCTAAGGAACAAAAGAGTACCAGAAGAAGTATATAGAAGAAAGAGTGGTAGAAAAAAAATCTTTGAAGACCTATTATGACATTATTATCCTTTTTGACAAACTGAAAAAAGCTAAAAAGATAACACCATCACCCCTTTATAATAAACATATATATATATATATATATATATATATATATATATATATATATCACATATTAATTTCGTATTATATGCTTTATATAGTAAAAAAAAAACACAAAATTAATTTTATAATTATTGTAAACTTTCAAGTTTGTAATATTTATAAAATCAATAATAAATTTTTCCTTTATATTTTGGCAACTACCAACCGTTGATCCACCAAAATACTTGGATCAGACCAGTCTTCACTTTTCACTTGGAACCATATATATTTGTGTGCGCGCGTTTGACTGAATTAGAAAAAGAAAAAAAAAATCTTATTTTTTAAGTAGAAGGTAATTGAAGAGGAGCAATGATATCCGAAATTCGAACCCATGTTTGTAAAACAAAAACCAATTAAATTATACCTTAACGTCGTATTATAATTTATAACCATCTGAAACAAGAGATTTTTGTTTTTTTCTTTTGACGATTTTAAAACAAATATGAAAGAAAAAGAATTGAATGTGCCATTTCTTTCCAACTTTATTGTAAGAATGATACATCCCACATACATCGATTACTACCGACAGAAATTTTAATTTAGCCAATATACAGGACTCGAGAGTCAAACCTAACGCTCATGAGCTAGCTTCAGGCTCGGTTCCTCTTGTGGGCAGCCTTGGCACCACTAGAGTCAGCATCAGAGGAGGAATTGGGCATGGAGTTTGTGAAAGAAGTTGAAAGGTGAGCATAAAGATCAACCACTCTCCTGATATTATTGTTCAGCTCTCTGATCAACCCAACATTCCTGCTCAAATTATCTGGGATTTTGGACTCATGGTTCTGATTTATCTCACTTATCAGCACCCTATTCTGCTCCAATATGTCCTGCACCTGCACAAAACTCTTCTGAAATGTCTGCATAACTCTCCCATCTACCCCTCTCTGTGTATCCCCCTCCATATATCTTCACTTTTCACTTCAAATCCTCTCCTGCAATAAGGAAGGGTAAAAAAGTCAAAGAATCATCGACCCGCCAAAAAAAAAAAAAAAAAAAACTCGTTCTGGTGACTATTATACCTTATACTAACCAATCCTCGGTTCGTCGAAAAATATAAATAATTGGCACATAATAGACTACATTGGTACCATGCCCACACCAAATATACACATAAATCAGGACTCAGGAGCATATAATAATAATAATTATTATTATTATTTTTAGGTCTTATTATTATTACTATTATATAATAATTATTTAAGGCATGATGAGATGTAAAAGGCAGATCCTATTTTCCATAAAAAGGTATGCAGTGGTCTGATATACCCAGCTGAAGTCCTAAGCACAGAGCTTCAAAAGAAGAATCTTTAGGCCCAGAAATGTCCACTCGTACTTAGGTCAAACAAAGCATTTGCATTATGAATTATGAATTATGAAAGACAGGATCATAAACCTCAAAAATTTCAACTTTCCTTAGAGCAAAAATCCTTTAAAATATCACCCAAAAACAAGATTAACAGTCAAAGAATCAGAGCTAACCAGACAGAAGAATTACAGTGAAAAACAAAAATATATGAAAGATTCAAACTTTAAGCATATAAATCAAGAATTCAAGTTTTGGCATATGGGAAATTCATACCACAGCTTGGGAACCCAATTTCTTGTTCTTGGATAAGCTTAGTAAGCTCTTACACTGATATATACAGACATGAAACATTCATACATATATGTATATATATGTGTGTGCATATATATATAGTATAGTGCTACAGAAATCCATATTGTTTGTGTTTATAGAGTACCTTGAAAATCTTGGGGCATGATTGAGAGTTGAGGGTGAGGGAGACAGAGATTGAAAGGGCAAAACTGATCTGGGATTGAATGGAATCTGCAGAGAGAGATAACGGGGAGGGAGAATATGTAGATTTGACAGTCTGTTCTTGGGTCTGTCTCTCTCTAAATATACTTTAAAGTTTAGACTTTCTTCCCCTTGTTTTTTCAATTGGTCTTTTGAGTTTGAGATTTTTAATGTACATTTGTTTCCCCCATTTTAATTATATTATTCTCTTATTATTGAGTGGGCACACTCCATTGGATCTTGTGGATCCAAACAGTTGAGGTTACCCAAAATCTTATATCATCCATTCACTGCTCACTACTTACATGTTCAATCATGGGGTAGTATATAATTGAAGTGAGAAATTATAAACTTTCCATTGGTGTTTTGAGGTAATATTTTTTTTACTGAATATATAAATTTTGGGACAACTTCAGTCAAATTAGTTGGACGATTGGTTTAGTAAGCACAAAGTTTCAAGTTGATTCTGCGTGAAAATTGTGTATTGACCTTGTTTGTTTGAACTAGTCAGCTATAAGACAACCTAAATTGATTTATTTCTTTGTGATTCTTTGTCACCTGATTCACCCAAAGCGCACAATCAATGAATATATAAAATTTTATGGGTCAACAAATATTACATTTTTATTAATATGGAGTACTTTTCAGGGAAAATGTAATATTTGTTGACTCATAAAAATGGATGATATATTCCATCTTAACTAAAAATTTAAATTAGCAATTAACTGATACATATATGTTTTATAACACTTGTGTAAGACTGTCTCACAAGTCTTAATCCGTGAAACGGATAGGATATTTGATTAATGGATCAGATCTTTGACCTCATTAATCAAAGATCCGATTCATCTCACGAATTGAGACCCGTGAGACGGCCTCACACAAGTTTTTGCCTTATATATTATATATTATATATACTCAACAATGTGTTTCCCCAACTAAGTTTATTATACAGTTATTTATCTATGGCGCAACAAAGGAATAATATATTTGGTGAAAGTCATTTCCTTGTATCATGTAAAGAACTTCTACCCTAATTGGGGTGAAACTCAAACTTAAAACTTTACCTATAGAAATCTATCCAGATTGGGGTAAAACTCAAACTTAAGACTTTTCCTATAGAAAGCAACAATGATGTCATCAATTTACAAATTACTTGACAACTATGTTATTTTCTTCTCTTAAAATATTGAATCTCCAACTCCAAGGGTTTTCCACATTCCAGTTCAACAGAGCATTTAGAATGATATAAATCACGGTGACTCAATGACTTGACAAACTAAGCAACAAATATGCTATTTTATTCTCAAAAAACACGGTTAAATCCACATCCCATTCTCTAGCCATTTCCTTATTACAAACATCCAATCAACTGAACTCCTTAACACTTGTTGATTCGTAAGCCAATGGACCATCTATTATGAATCCGTATACACCTTTTTTTTTTTTTTTGAAAGAAAGTCATAACATTAATTCATCAAGTCCGTAGACAAAGCATTACAAAGGAAAGGTGGCGGAATAGAAAGCCACTCGGAGCAACCAGAACTAGAAACGGCATATCTAGCTATAGCATGAGCTACACCGTTCGTTGATCGCTTTACAAAGGATAAAAACACATGCGAAAAGTCGCACAATACGTTTTTAATATCACTAAGGATTACATGGAAAGAGGATTCTCCTATACTCGATTTGAGACTGTTGACCACTTGAAGAGAATCCGTCTCAACGCTGACTTTATTCAAGTTTAGTTCTTTAATCCAGCTCAGTGCTTCCCTGATCGCAGTAGCTTCAGCTTCCCTGGGTGAGAAAACACCATCCCATTGAATTCCTCTAGCTGCTACAAAAGTGCCGTGTTCGTCTCTGATGACGCACCCAAAGCCCATCTTGCCGTTGATTGAGTCTATCGCTGCATCGACATTTAGTTTGTGAAAACCTTCCTGTGGTTTTGACCATTTAGGTTGCACAGTAGTCGACTCCTCATTAACTGGTAAGGATGGTAAGGCTGCTTCTCTCCAATCCTGCAGATACTTCGAAGCTTTAAAGACAATGGTCTCTGCACTTTGAATCCTCTTGTTGTTCCAGATCTTGTCGTTTCTTTGCCTCCAAATTTCCCAGCAACACACGATCACTGTGCATAATTGATCCCTAGGCAAAGATGATGATAGAAAGATGAACCATTCCTGGACAGATGAGAAATGAGCAGAGTTCGGTTGGCACCCAAGAATACTCCAGCATTGTCGAGCATGAATACAATCCACAACCAATCTATCCAAGTATCCAAGTATCCAACCAATCTTCAACCATTTATAATAGCCCACAACTAAGCTTTCACAACATTACAAGAATAGATGTTATATATCATTATATGTTGTTCAATCTTTATCAAATAAACGTGCCTACAAATCACGCTTCTACCTCTAGTAGGGGTGTTAGCAAACAGAGCTTTCGGCAAACTACTCGTGTTCGTATTCGATAAGCGTTCGTTTATGTTCGTTTGTTAAGGTAAACGAACATTAATAAACAAAATTTAGAGCTCGGTTAATAAACGAACAGAGATTGAACAATTGTAAGCTCGTTTGCTAAGAGATCGTGAACAAGCTCGTTTGTATTCGTTTACTAATGTTCGTGAACAAGCTCGTTTATGTTCATTTAATAATGTTCGTGAACAAGCTCGTTTGTGTTCATTTAATAATGTTCGCGAACAAGCTCGTTTGTATTCGTATATTATATTATATTAGTTTTGTAGTTGTGTTGTTTGTTTGATTATTGTTCGTGAACAAGTGTTTGTTTATTAAGTGTTCATGAACGTAAGTGAATATGTTCGTGAACGTGCTTGTTAATGAACACGTTCGCGAACATGTTTATTACCGTTAACGAACAGTAACGAACGCTTAACAAACGAACACGAACAAGATTTTCAAAAACCTTAACAAACGAACACGAACACTCCAAATTTCATAACAAACGAACACGAACATCTTCCGTTCATTTATGTTCGATTCTTAACAACCCCGGTATATTGTCATTGTACTTAATATTTCATCACTCAATATTTGACTTTTACATTTAATAATGTGACAAATTATAGTTTACTATTGGAGCATCCATAATGGTTAACTTTTTATTAGATTTTTTGTGTCAAATAGGAGAGAGGGAGGAGAGAGATTTTGCACACATAGCCACACTCTAAATCATTGTAAATAAATTATTTTGCATTCCTAGCAACAATTACTTTCATTTGTTTCTCAAAAGTTGTACCTCAATTTCCAACTTCATTTTTATATGTTTAGACCAATAGTTATAATTATAACATAAACCAACTCTACCTTGCAAGGTGTATTCAGGTCTAAAATACACAATTTATATATTGAATGTTAATAATTTACATATTTAATGTTCACAATTTACACACTAAATGTTCACAATTTATTTTTATAAAATTATAAACATTAAGTATATATAAATTATAAACATTCAGTATCGATCTACCTTGTAAGGTGGATTCGAGTCCTCGGAATAATTTGCCGGTTTAAACCTTCCAATGAATGGTATGTTTTGTCATTAGCCCATATTAGATGTAATGGGCCAAATGGGCTTGGGCTTAACAGTAGACCCAATGAGTATATGAAAACAAACTTTCACTATCGCTCCGGCAAGGAAAAATGCTCATTGCGAAAGCAGCAGCTCAATATCGCTCGCAATTGTTATCCCCACGCGCATTATCTCTATCTCAGGCAGCCGCCTCCTCCGCCTTCCGCCGCTGCTACTCCACCGCGCCGATCGGAATGTCAACCAGTCAAATCGTCGAGCACGTCGTTCTCTTCAAAGTGAAGCCCGACGTCGAAGCCGCGAAGGTCAACGACATGATCGGCAAGCTCAACGGCCTTGGTTCTCTGCCCCAGGTGGCCCACATCGCCGCCGGCGCACTCCTCCGCGCCAGATCCTCCTCTCTCTCCTTCACTCACATGCTCCACTGTCGGTACAGGTCCAAGTCCGACCTCGCCGACTACTCCGCACACCCCGACCACGTGGCCGTCGTCAAGGGATACGTCCTTCCGATCTGCGAAGACATCATGGCCGTGGACTGGATCCCCGATTGCTTCTCCGGCCCGATTAAGGTGCCGGCCGGTTCCGCCATTAGGGCTACGTTTCTGAAATTGAAGGAAAGCGTTGGGGAAAACGAGAAAAACGAAGTCCTGAGGGTGAACAAGGGAATTAAAGAGAAATTCCCTTCGATTGAACAGCTGTGCGTTGGGGAAAACTTCTCTCCCGCCAGGGCGAAAGGTTATTCGATCGGTTCGATTGCGGTTGTCCGAGGAGTGAGTGAATTGGAGACGTTGAATGAGGCGAAGGATACGGTTGAGGAGTTTCTCGATGACGTATTGGCGGTGGATTTCGCCGTTCCGGCGGAACAATCTGCTAATCTCTGAGGCTTCATCTTACTTTGCTGCTTCTGTAATGGAGTAATGGACTTTTCGAATGTGTATTTGTTACAGAATAATGTTGTTTCCTTATTCCTGATCCACTATTGCAAGAAACAGTTTGATACACTATCAATCCAAGACTGCAAATTTTCCAAAGTGTCTTTAGCATGATTTCTTGCACTTTTTTTTCTTTCCAAAATTTAACCCAATAATGTTGATGGAATTATAAGACGGTCTGATTAGCTAATCTTCCGCCTAATTTGTAGACACTTTTATTGGGTAAAACCGTTAGACTGAAGAATTATTATTATTCTATATACTCAAAACAAAAAAAATTAAATTTTAATTAAAAATGAATGAGTCTCTCCCACTTAATTATACACTCTACACCTCCCAAATTAGTGATAAAACATTCTGCATATTGTTATATATTTTCATACTAGTAATTCACCCGCGCAGTGCACGGGAAAAAATTATGTTATTATAAATATAAATAAAAAATAGAAAAACTAAAATATTTTAAATTATTTAATATAATAATATTTTTGAGCTTCCATTGGTCAAGTATTTATTATTTTTATAAAATACAAAATTACAATTAAAATTAAAATTAATATTAAAATTATAATTTTGTATGGTTAATATAATCTCTAATTATGTGCATATTCAAATAAACTTATAGAGAGAAGTGACATAATTACATTGATTTATTCTTAATTGTATTTCATCTATATTATAATTTTCACAATACGAATAATAACTAAGATAATTACATTTGGAAAGCAAATTTCAAATTTTGTATGTGTAAATTTAAACTCTAATTCAACACATTTTTTATATGATTATATAATATATAGCTATTTTATTTTTCAAAAGTATATTTTTTATATGATTATATAATATATAGCTATTTTATTTTTTAAATGTTGTATTTTTTTATAATAAAGGATGTTGTGGCATTAATTGTAACATTAATTATTTTTCAAACCATATAACTTTATTATATAAAGGATTTAAATTCAAAATTTGTACAAAAAATCTCATTGGTAACATGATTTTGCTGTAATAGAGGTAATGGCCGATTTAGTCTATGGCTCTGTTTGACAGAGCTTATTTAGGAGCTTATAGCTTATTTTAAGCTACTAATAAGCTATAAGCTCTGTTTGGTAATGTTCCCAAAATAAGCTCCTAGCTTAAAATAAGAGCTTATTTTGGAACGCTACCTAAGGTAGCGTTTCAAAATAAATTCCCAGCTTCATAACTTTTTTTTCCATCTTTATCCTTATTATTTTAAAGAAATGACATAATTTATCATTTTCAATTAAAACCCTTTTCTCCTATCATTTATCTGCAACTTTCACCACAAATATTATTATTATTATTATTATTATTATTATTATTAGAGAAAATTACACTTTTGGTCCTATGACTATAGGGGGTTGGTAATTTCAGTTCGTGACTTTTAAAACTAACAGATTTAGTCCTTTTAGTATGCTTTTTTCACACATTAAGTCCTTCCGGCTAATTTGCCGGTAGATTTTCGCCGGAAAAACCTATTCATTTGTTTATTAATTTTTTGGAGGGGTAAAATGGTCACTAATGTCTGAGAAAAAAGGGGATAAACGGTGGCTTATATTTCCTACCTTAAATAACGTCCACCTTAAACGTCAATTAAGGACTGGAAACACGTTCGATAACTTTGCGCTGGTGAGTAGAGGTGCAAATGGGGTTCAGGGGTCTGTGTTGAACACGACTGGTCAGCTTGCTATAGTTGCTAATCCTCCGGTGAGTTTGGGTGTCGGAACAGGGGTTGTGCGATCGATTTCTGGGGTGATTAATGCTCAGGGTACCCAACGGAATCTGGGAACTAGTAATACGAGGGAGAACAATGGCTTCTCAGGTGGGGATATCGCAGGGTCTTCAGCTGTTCCGGTGAACATGAACGGTCAACAGATGGGCGGGAACACAGTTGACTCATCTGCCTCCCGTACGCTGGGTTCGACAGATACTTTTTCGATGGATAATGGGGCGGATAAGGATGAAGTGTTTGGCACAAGAAAATTGCAGTGGGTTCCAAAACAAAATGTTAACAAGAAGTAGACCACAACTACGGCCAACAGAATGAATATTCAGAGACCGATTGTTATTGGGAAAGCGATGGAGAGTGAGGATTACAGGCTGGAATTTATTGAATCTGAAGAAGAAATTTTCCAACTTGAGAAGGATGAGGTGTTGGAGATTGAAGAAGTCAAGACATACTGCTTGTTGGGTAGGTTTGCAGGCTGGTTTCCCGGCATGAGAGCTATCCAAGAACTTGCATGGAGCTGGAAGGTGGATTGCAAACCAGAATATGTTCTAAACGACCATGTGTTTTTCTGGTTTAAGAAGGAAGAAGATGTACAGAGTGTGATCTCAGACATTAGTGACCATTTTACCCCCCAAAGAAATTAATAAACAAATGAATGTATTTTTTCGGCCAAAATCTACCGGCAAATTGGCCGGAAGGACTAAATGTGTGAAAAAAGCATACTAAAAGGACTAAATTTGTTAGTTTTAAAAGTCACGAACTAAAATTACCACCTCCTCTATAGTCATAGGACCAAAAGTGTAATTTTCTCTTATTATTATTATTATTATTATTATTATTATTATTATTATTATTATTATTATTATTAGATTTGCAATCATATTGCTACTTCATTATGAGATACTAGATCATGATTATGCTAATAGTTTTATTTCAAAATGTTAATTTTTTTAAAGACAAAATGTTAAATTTTAATATGTAAACAAACTAATTTAAATTTTATGAAGATGTCATTTTTAGTCTTTTTACATTTATCTGCTTATCAAAAAACTAATTTTACCAAACATTTGCAATCATAACAGCTCTTTAGTTTTCAGCTCTGAGCTTATAGCTTTTCAACTTTCAGCTCCTAGCTTATAGCTTTTCAGCTAGGTTTGCCAAACAGAGCCTATGATTATAAAGGAATTATTGATTTAATTATTGCTTTATCAAATTAAGTTCTCAACTTTGAAAATCTCACTTAATTCCGTCCTCTCATCAATTTGAACGGTAAGATGATAGCTAGAGGACAAAATCGAGTAAAATTTTTAAAGTTGAAAACTCAATTTGATAAGAGAAGACCACTAGACTAAATCAATAATTTCGCTATTGTTGATAACTCCATAGTAATATGATGTCAAATTATATATACTCTCTTAATCTAAATTTGAATTCAAATCTTATTATCTTGCGTGACCGTCTGAATTGTGACAACGGTCCATATCTTGTTGAAGTTATGACAGTTAAGGAAGCATTATCCTGGATAAAGGGCCTTGGCAATAGGAGTTCTGTTGTAGATTTAGACTCTTTAAATTTTTACATCGCTTTTAATTCTATTTCGTTGGATCATTCTTATGTTGGTATTATTGTTCAGCAATGTCGTCTTATTGCTAGGGATATGGGTAATGTTATTATTCATCATATTCGTAGGTCAGCAAATCACGTGGCTCATGTTCTTACACGGATAACTGGTTTCATGTCTGTCCTAGGTTCTTGCGTTGATGACCCTCCTGATTGTATCTCTCAATTATTTGGTACTTAATTTATGAAGTTGGTCTTTGGTTTTCCAAAAAAAAATTGCAAAAAGTTATTATTGTTTATAATTCAACAATAAATATTTTGGAATTACAAATATTCATTTCCATTCTTGGTCTACACGAAAAGCAGCCAATTCTCTTCTCCACGGCACTTATCCATAGGGAAGAGTAGTCCATTATTCTAAATACTTTTTTATAACATAATTTGCTGACTTTTTCGACTATATCCTAAACCAATAAATTTATTTTTAAATCTATAAAAAGATAAATTAAATCAATCTTATTTCGAGACTAAACATCAAATTATATATTTTTATGCACAAAAAATTCAATCCAACTTTAAATTTTAATATTCAGAGTAAGTAATACAACCCCATCTAGCTACCAAAAAGTTAAAAAACCAATCAGATTAATTATTCTAAATGTTTAATCATATGAAATGAAAGCAACACAACAACACATGATCTCTACAAAGTATCCTAACCAGACACGCATACAAGCCTTGTGCTACAAGACCAAAAAAGTCAATAAAAATGGCCTTTTTTTTTTTTTTTTTTTGCTTTATCTATCACACTATAATAATCATCTTCTTTTGAATAAATATGCAGGTCAAAATTCTTCTGGAAAATCACACACATATATATACACTACCTGAACCAGACAACAACACCCACAGATTTAATATCAGAGCACTGAATATAGTAAATGGCAAACTTTGTTACCTTTTCCTTGGGGCTCTCTTCCCTGCTTCTACTCATCTATTATCTGGCAAGAATTTCATATTCCATTTTGTTGAAACCCAAATGGCTGCAGAGGCGTTTAAGACAGCAAAACATCAATGGCACAACCTACAAACTATTGCTTGGTGACCTTAAGGATGTTGGCAAACACATGGCCGATGCCTGGTCCAAACCACTGAGCCTCACCCATGATCTTGTGTCCCGTCGCGTCGATCCTTTCACCAACCATCTAGTGCAGAAATACGGTAAATATTCTGATACCAAACTGAATCATGTGTTCTGCATTAACTGAAAGTTTAGTAACTGTTCTGATACCAAACTGAATGATGCGTTCTGCATTAGCTAAAAGTTTAGTAACTATTTCTGATATCAAACTGAATATAATAATGGCCTTGTTTGATAAAATAGTTAGTTTATCAGTCAATTTTGGCTTATTTGATTACTATTAACTGTTTGACTTGGTTAAACAATTAATATGAGTGGTGGATTAGTTAGCTTTTTGTAACAACCTCCAAAATGTTAAAATTAAAAAAATTGTTAACTTTTTGAGAAAGTCATTTTGTATATAATCAGCTAGAAACTAATTTACCAAACACTTTTCTACAACCAGCTAATGCTATCAACTAGTCAAACCCACTAACCAAATCAACTAAACGTTATCAGCTAACAGCCATTTACTAAACACCCCAACGTGTTCTGCATTAACTGAAAATTTAGTAATTGTTGTGATATCAAACTAAATGATGTATTTTGTTAACATTTGTGGTGGTTTGCAGGCAAGATATCTGTTTGTTGGTTTGGGACTTCACCCAGGCTGACCATCATGGATCCAGAAATGATAAAAGAAATACTTTTGAACAAGGCAGGCCACTTCCACTTGCCACCACTGAACCCTATTATCTTAAGCCTAGCAAGAGGGCTCACAATTCAGCAGGGTGAAACATGGGCTCACCACAGGAGGATAATGAACCCTGCATTCCACATGGAAAAACTCAAGGTCACCCTCAACATATTTATTCCCTTTCTTTAGTCTTGAATTGACTCGATCAATACTCAGTTGGATTAGTCTCGTCCCGTCCCGCGGGATGTAACGTAGTACTGGAATTAATGATTGGTTTTATTTTGTATAGGGAATGATACCGGCATTTTCGGAAAGTTGTGCACTATTGATAGAGAAATGGAAGACATCAGTGACACCCCAAGGAGCTGGGGAGATAGATGTTTGGCCAGAATTTCAAGACCTTACAGGGGACATCATATCCAGGACAGCATTTGGTAACAGCTATGAAGAGGGGAACAGAATCCTAGTACTTCAGAGAGAACTGCAACAACTAGTTATGGAAGCCATGAGAACCATGTACATTCCCGGCTTCAGGTAATTGGTAAATAGTTGTTAGCTGATTGAGTTAGTGAGTTTGAGTAATTGATAACATTAGCTGATTATAGAACAATTCTGATAAATTAGTTCTTAACTGATGGCTGATTACCTGCAAAATGACTTTCTCAAAAAACTGATCTAAAACAACTGTTTTAATTCTAGATTGCACGTTTACTATTCCATATATTTATGCTCAGCAGCCCCGAAATGCATTGTGAATAACAGATTTCTTCCAACGAAGAAGAACCGGAGAAGAAACGAGTTGGACAAAAGGATCACATCAATGCTGAGAACATTGGTGGAGAGAAAGGAAGCCATGATTAGAGGTGGAGAAGCAAAGGAGGATGACCTCCTCGGTCTGCTTCTGCAGTCGAATGCTCGTCAAACCAACCCTCTGCAACACCATGAAAGCAACACCAAGAATTACGAGATGAGCATGGAGGAGATCATAGAGGAATGCAAACAGTTCTACTTAGCCGGCCACGAGACAACCGCAACCTGGTTAACCTGGACAATCATTGTCCTGGCAATGCACCAAGACTGGCAACAAAAAGCCAGGGAAGAAGTTCTGCAAGTCTGCGGGGATAAAATCCCCGACCTTGAAGCCATTTCCCACCTCAAAACCGTAAGTCCTGGCTCCGCCCAATACTATCAGTTTAACTTTTTAGCTAAGAAAGAACATCTACTGTAAGTCTGTAACAATGGGACCCACAGGGTGTGGGTCCAGATGGCTGCATCTATCATCCTGACCCACCATCAAAATCTGATCCATGCAATGCAGGGTAGATATACGGTGCGGATTGAAATTGTCATCCTTAATTACATAAGATATTCGACTGACTATACATGATTTTTGCAGGTAACCATGATACTTAATGAAGTGCTAAGGCTATATCCATCAGTGATTGCACTTTACAAGCATGCTTACAAGGAAACACAGATAGGGGGTCTGTGTATTCCATCTGGAGTGGATGTGACACTGCCCATAATGCTGATGAACCGCGACCCGGACCTATGGGGAGACGATGCAGAAGAGTTCAAGCCAGAACGGTTCGCTGAAGGGGTTTCGAAGGCCTGCAAAGATCACCCTTCTGCGTTCTTGCCATTTGGATGGGGGCCAAGGACCTGCATTGGCCAAAATTTTGCCAATATAGAAGCCAAAGTGGCTCTTGCCATGATTCTAAAGCATTTCTGGTTTGAACTGTCCCCTAGCTACATTCATGCTCCTTATACTGTCATGACTTTGCAGCCACAGCATGGAGCTCAGATCATATTGCATCAGCTTTGAGGGGCCGGGCCGGGGTGTGAGGGTCTCTGAGTTGAGGGAATTTTCCTTTTCTGGGTGAAGGAAAAATCTATTTTGATAATAATAATGATTGTTGGCATGGAACGTTGAAAAAAAAATGTCAAAAATCACATTTTTTATAATGAAATGAAATTGGGACTATGTTGAACATAAATACATACATATATATAAACCAGCTTGGTTGGTTTGAGTGACCGTGCACTCTCTTCCCTTAAAGATGTCGAGAGTTCGAAGTTCGAACCTCCTCTCGTATGGAAAAATCACTTTGGTCAGGACTTTGCCCCTTAATTGGGTCGACCTTGTACGAATGAGGATTAATCTGAATATAGTACGAGCTTAAAAATGTCTCCTACAATTAAAATTTGCCCAGAACACCTCATAACCTGACAAAAAAAATACATACATATATAGCACCAAACACTAGCCCACAACATAGACCCACCCATGATAGAAGCAAATTGATTGATTAAATTTTGAAAGTTGAAGGATCATGTGTGATTAATTTAGACCACATGTGGTTTAAACGTTTAAGACTAAACATGACAAAACTACTATACTTGAAAAATCCCATGTGACATTAACTCTAAATACATACATATATACCACCATAGACTAGCCCACAACATAGACCCACCCATGATAGAAGCAATTTGACAATGTTTGACCAATAATTACTAAGTGCACACCAACAATGGTGTGAGCAATCTAAGGTTTGTCCCCCTTTATGAGCAACACATTGGTTTGTGATTGGTCGGTCGGTCCCTACAAAAATTTATTAGTGTTCAGCTGTCTTAGGTGATAGACATTAATTAAATTTGAGTTGAAAAGTTTGATCCACTCTCAAACCTTCCCTACCTGTAGTGTCTTCCCCAAATATAATGTACAATGCATTTGCCCCTTTAGGTTTTTGGTGTCCCAAATATTTATGATCCATCCCAATCAATGTCATCTCCTCTGGTCTTGTGTAAATCATACCAAAACTGGGCTGCAGTGAAATGTCACCTTTAAAGTTGTGAAATCACACCAAATTATTAGCATTTCACTGCCAAACCTGAAATTCTTGAACAGATAGAAGAAACTGCCTTTTTTAATAATAATAATAATAATATCTGTAAAGATTTTGTTTTTTTTTTTTTTTTTTTTTTTTTACTTCGTCAAACAATATATTAGACCCAATGAATTCACTCCAAAATTTATGAATGAGGTAAATTTAAAGTTCTCATCATGTGGCTTGCACACTTTTGTGCACATGATGTTTTTACCGCTATATATTGGTCATTAAGGGTAAATAATCTTTAAAAAAAAAAGAGGAAACTTCATTTAACTAAAGATAAGAATTTAAAACATTACAGATAAACCAATGAGGGTTATTAAACCACTTTATGCAACCAGTCATATAACAAACTCGCGTGCAAGAATGTGAATAGCCTGGTTCACTAATCGTTTAACAAAAGATATAAAAACATGTGAAAACACATTACATAAATCTTTGACATCCATCAAAATAAGATCAAAGGAAGAATCTTTCCCTGTCGAGTTTAGACCATTTAACACTGGAAGTGCATCTATTTCTACTTGAATGTTATTCAAGTCTTGAGTTTTTAGCCAGCTAAGCACATCGCGAACTGACATAGCCTCGGCCTCATGGGAAGAGAAGAGACCCTTCCTTGGTAGGCATTTGCCCGTCATATGAGGTCTTCCTAATACCGTTTATTTCTCCTGTGTGGTTTGCAGGCTAGTACATAGAAGCTAAATTTATTCAATGTATATTTTTGAGTATAATTACGCGTTTCCCTCTTTAAAAAAATCAAAAATAATTTTTTTAAAGAATCATATTGTTTTTAAAATATAAAAAAGAAGTGTGGAAAAGCAGGGGAAGTGGGATAATATAGTATAATAAATCATGGTTTTGAGTCAGTTTTTAGTGACTGACAAAACAGCAGTCTGTGGCGTACTGCAAAGCAAAGCAAAGCAGTGGGTTGGGTTCCTCACTCCCTCTGTTCTCTTCCATCTATCTTTCTGCAAAACAAACAGTACGGTAAAACAAACCAAAAAATATACTCCTCTCTTTAATCTCACCACTCTGCAATCTGCAACTTCTAAATAATTAACCAAACATCAAATGGTTAGATCTTTGGCTTCGGATATGGAACAACTTTAAATTTGGTCAATTGTCTCATCCATTAGAGGTGCCTACAATTCAGAAAGGGGATTAGTCACTGTGTCTGACAGTGAAAACCCGGGTACACCTAAAGAAAAACAAACAAACAAAAACAAAAATCAAACCACCTTAATGATCCGACATTTCTTGGAACTTTACCATGTTAATCTGCTGCCAACCTCTTTGTTTATTCTGGTTTTATAACTACTAAATCAAGATTAGTTGGAGAATTTTTTTTTTTTTTGGATAAAAACTATAATAGACTGAACTACTGAAGTGTGAACAGAACACTTTGCATATCTCATGCATGCCATATATGTGTCTGGTCTCTGGTGTAGTCCTCATGCAGAGGTCCATCATATCATAGTGAGAGAAAGTTGGGTGGGGTGGGTGGGGGGAGGGGAGATGGGTGGGGGGAGGGGAGAAACAGTACCTTTTTTGCCCCTGTTCCTCATAGTCATAATGTAATTCACTGCACTGCAACTACCCAAACCCCATATTGTTAGCTCTCATTTCATTACATCAAGTAGTTAATGACAAGTGTTAGGTGTTGAATCCTAAATTCTAAATTCTATAACTTTGATTTATGAGAAAATTTGCGTCTTGTAATCTTAGTCAGTAAAGGACTCACATATGTTGTCCATAAATGACTGGCTAAAGTCGAGAAGGTCAATTAACCGTGGTTATCAAACTAACAAGGCGAAAAAAAGGCTGATGGGTAGTACTTTAGATAGTTTTGGGTGGTGTAAAATAGGGTACACTTCAAATCAAAATTGATTCTTGTTGGATTATATCCACTGGAAACCTATTTTGACTGATGGTCCAATCCTAAATGCTGAATCAGCAGATGCAGAAAAGATTGGAGGATCAGATACCAAACCACATAGGCACCAAACCATAGAGTTTGTTATATGGATTAAATATAATATGAATTGATTGATGTGACGCGTTATTGTTAAATCAAATAATTGAGAATTAAACCAGTTTGATTGGTATGAGTGGTCGTGCACTCTCATCCCTTAAGGTCGAGAGTTTGAAACTCCTCTCATATAGAAAAACTAATCTGGCCAGCACTTTGCTCCTTAATTGGACCGACTCGGTGCGAATGGAAATTAATCTGAGTATGGTACGGACGCTCAAAATACTTCATGGATTGATTAAAATAATTGAGAATTAATAGTTTTTATAAAAAAATATTTTTCTCATTCTAAAAAAAAAAAAAAAAATCTCGTAAAATACACGTGTTGTAACACTTTTATTGGTCGATGCTCGTTGTGTCTAAGATGTTGGGGGTTTATTTGATCAATACAGATTATGCCCCCCTGCCCCCCTGCCCCCCAAAGAAAAATCAATTGATAAGACACCCTCAATATTATTTCGTAGTTAAAACATCTTCATATAATCATATCTGACTCAAATTTGATGTTTGTGGTGCCAAAATGAATGAAATCTTGTATTATGCTGTCATATATTATAAGAGATGATTCACATTTCCTGGAAGATGGCAAAGAGCCAAAATTGCCATTGGGACCATAGGCTCAAACAATAGCTTAAAGCAGTCACTGAAAAGAACCTTTGGAAAAAAGCTCAGATGTTACTAGCATGTCATCATCCTTTTTTTTTTAAAAAAAAAAAAAAAAAAAACATACTACCCCGTGGGATTAACTTAAGTGGTCAACCACCTGAACTAAAACTCAACACTCCAGCAACAGGGTGAGGGCTTGAATCCCTTGCACACATACTCAACAAGAGGAACTAATTGGGAAGCTGCTTGGGCGGTTTGTGATTTACCTGCTTCAGTAACTCTTGGACAAAGGTTCTGGGACTTATGATTAGTATGTAATAAGTTAGGAACCTAATGGGGGTGTTTGGTAAATGACCCTGATTCAGTTAGTGAGTTTGACTAGTTGATATCATTAATTAGCTGATTGTAAAAAAATGTTTGATAAATTAACTGTTAGCTGATTACATACAAAATGACTTTCTCAAAAAACTGATAAAAAAACTACTTTGAATAGCTTTTTGAATTTTAGCATTTTGAAACAATAAGTTGTTACAAAAACTAATTAATCAAACACTCAGATTAACTGTTTAACTAAGTCAAACAACTAATACTGATCAAATAAACTAAAATTGACTGATAAGTTAATTACTTTACCAGACGGGGCCAATATAATTTTTTTAAAAAAACTTGGATTGCATGTGGCAAAATCCCAGAGAGAGCTGACTGAGGTCTGAGCCACCTTTCAAACAAACAAAATAAACTCACATACTGAAAGCCAAAATACATGTGAAGGCTCAGAAGGGCCAGCAAGCCAGGCAGCATGATGCAGTAGCATTACAAACTTCAAAAAAAAAAAAAAACCACAAGTACTAAATTACACCCCCTTGGACCAACAAGAAAAAGTAACAGTTTCTTGCATGCTCAGAAAACCTCATTGCACATGTATAAGGAAGCTGGAGCAGTAAAAGCACCCCAGACCACCACTCTTTTCTCCCTCTCTCATCTGCTTCACCATACCCCACTGCCTCTATTCAAACCCCCCTCTTCATTTTTCTGCAAAAACAAAAAGCCCAAACTGTGCTGTCAAATATCAGAACCTTCATTCAACCATAAGTTGGTTGCAGCAGTATGTAGCAGCCAGCAAATGTTCATTTTTAATATACTGAAAATTCATTTGTTGTGCACTGAATGTTCATTATTTGGTGGACACAAACAAATGAACATTCAATGTATTAAAAATGAACTTTTAGTATATTTAAAATGAACCTTATGTCAGTCTACCCTACAAGGCGAACCATGATTAATGGTGAGTAGAGTGGTTGCAGCAGTAGCAACCAACAAATGTTCATTTTTAATATACTGAAACTTCATTTGTTGTGTACTGAATGTTCATTATTGGGTGGATAGTACAAT